CTGGGGATGGAACTCACATCCGACTCATCCCAAATGGGGAGCTCTTCCCAACTTGGCCCTCTGTGAACTAAAGTCAATAAAAGCATACCAGGCTGGACCAAACCATTCTTAAGAAACTCCAGGGGCCCCTCGTCATTCCCCAGACAGCCTGACTTCTGTGTCTAAGTCCCCGGTGACATGGCTGGAATTTTGGCCATGAAAGTAGTTGACTTGCAGAATTGACTGGCAAGGGCTTAGGCACAAGGGACCTCTGATGGGTTCTGTGGCCCCAAGACCAACTCCGTCCATGCTGTCTTCCCTGTGGGAGACAGCTTCCTGGGGCTGGTGTGGGCTCATCTGCATTATTCATCCCTTGCCCCCCACTCCCCACTCCCCCACCTGGTGTGAGGCTCCTGGGGTTGGCGTCTAGACAGACAAGAGCATCCTACTGAGAACAGAGGCAGCCCTGACTCCAGGCTGAAGGTTCCCATGGCAACTGCATCCCCCCTCAGCTGGCGCTACCCAATAAATAAATAATCAAGGATGGGGGTGGGGAGCTAAGGGCAGGGGGAGGGGCAGCAGGGGAGCCTCTTGGAGGCTTCACTCTGGAAAGAGGGAGTTAGGCTTCAAGTAGGCTGGGGGGTGGCAATGGGCAGGTGAGAGAAGACAGTGGAGGGAGAAAAGTGGCCAGATGTGAGAGATTCCTAAGGTCAGAGCGCCAGGACTTGATGACCGGCCGGGCATGGAGGTGAGGGAGCAGGAGGGAGACAAGGACCTAAAGTTTAGCTTTCTAGCTCATGCAGCTGGACACATCATGGGGCCCCCGAACCCTGGAAATGGACCAGGTTTGGGCATGTTAAGTTCATGATGAGCCATCCAATGGGTAGTTGGTTATAAAGGGGCTGGAGGCTGAAACGTGAGTAGTCACTGCAGCTCGGGTGGGCATGTGTTTCCTGGGATAAGTGGAGCATGAAGAAGGGCTAGATCTAGCTGTGAGGTACGCTGATATTTAGAGGCCTGAGTGCAGGGGAGGATGAACTGCTCCAGAATTGGGAGTGGCCAGGGAGGGTGGAGAATGAGTTTAACTTGAGCACCTACAGCATGCCAGGTGCTGCCCTTGCCACTAGAAATACAACAGTGACGATCTCAGGCAGGAACCCCTACTCTCGTGACGTTTGCCTTCTAATGCAGGAGACAGTTAATAAGGAGTCGGTAGTATGTTAGTCGATGATAAGTGCCATAGAAAAAGCAAGGGGCAAGTCGTCAGGGAGTTCTGCAGTGGACTAATTTTAAACAATATTGACACTTCTTACAACCATATGAGAGGTATTGTGGGTCATTCCCATTTTGTTGGTGAGAAAATTGAGGCACAGGGAGGTTAAGTGACTTGCCTTAACAGAGTTGTATAAAAACCAGTGGCACCAGGATTCTAGCCCAGGCTCTGCTCCTAACCACTAGACTAAATTGTAGTAGCAAGTGGGCAGAGGAGCTAGGGGCAGGGAGGCCGTGGAGACCTTTAAACAGTTGTGGCTACGAGAGTGTTGAGATAGATAAGACATTAGCTGGAGGCGGTTGAGGAGCTTTTTTTTTTTTTTTTTTTATGGGAGAGCCAGTGGGAACAATCCTGAGCAGGGGAGAGGTTGCGTTTACAAGAGAGAAGGAACTCTGGGTGGTGTGGGCTCCTGATAAGTAAGACGGGAAAAGATGAAGTTCAGAGTGCCAGGAGGAAGGCATTGGCCTTGCGGGGAGGAGGGTCAGTACCTCAAACATAGCAGTGAGGGGAGAAGGAGACCAGGTCCTCCCTGAGAGCGAGGGTGGAGGGGTCCCAGGAGGGGAGAGGACAGTGAGAAGATCTGAAATAGTCATCAGGGAGAGTGCGTTCCCCTGAGAAGGCCAGTCGGGTGGTAGGACAGCATCCGCTGCCTCTTGAAGTCGATGATTCCGGATCTGTCGATACAGTGGACCCAGTCTGCCCCATGGAGTGGCTTCCTCCAGCAGTGCTTGGCTGCTTTGCAAGCACTGAGAAAACTGTTCGTTGGGTGTATCCTACGTGGGCTTTTCCTGACAGGTGTGATGGAAAGGCCGAGGAGTATGAGAGTTTGGATTACAGGCAAAGCCGATGTTGAAGTGAGGGATTGTGTGATCCCAGTGGACCAAGAGTTGCAATGTGAAGAACCAGGGAATGGGAGAGAGTAGAGGGGTGGGGGCTGGGGACCTGATGCACCGGACTGGGCTCATCATCGTGAAGGGTGTTGGGAAGCCAGCTGGGGTGGTCCGAGCGGGGCCGTCACATTGATGACTTTGAAGGGAGGGCAGTTACAGGTGATGACACAGTCCAAGGGGTGGTGAAAGGTGAGGAATAGAGGGAAAGGTCCTGGAAGAGAAGTTAAGAGAGACTGAAAGGTTGGGGTGCTGGATGGGGTGGCCCCACATGTCAAAGTCAATCAGTATGATGCAGGGATTAAACTTGCTTTCAAAGAAGGGGCAAGACCCAGCAGCCAGTGGGTGAAGAAGCCAGCAGCGCAAGAGGGTGGTGGCATAGCCCCAGGGTTGTACAGTTCTACATGCAGCTTAGGGACCCCAGAGGATACCAGCCCCACCTTTGGACCTGGGGAACATGGGGTGAGAGAAGAGAAACGGAGTCACTGGAGAAGAGTATGGAGAAAGTAGCACCCTTGGGTGCGACATGTAAGGGGTTGGGGGTCCCCTCAGGGGAGAACCTGAAGTTATAGGGACATTTGCTGGTGTGGAAGGGCTCATGGAAAGGGGACAGGGTAGAGCTGAGTCAGAGCAAGCAGCACAAAGCGTGTGGAGATCAAAGGGGGAGCGGACTGTTGGGCAGGCATGTGGGACTTACTCTGGGGCATTGACACATCCAGAGTTTCTCTCCCAAGGTCAGCAGGCCATTGGAGTCAAAACCAGAAGGGCCCTTACAGGTCATTTAGTCCAGCGGCCTCTGTGTAGATGAGGAGCCTGAGACCCAGCAGGAAAGTGGCCTACCTAAGGTTACCCAGGGTTCAGTGGCATACTGTCAACCAGAACCGTACCTCTTAACTGCCAGCCCGGTGCCAACTGGGAAAGGTTGTGTGTTGGTGCCAGGATGGGACAGGTGGCAGGGAAAAGCTGAATGGCTGCCTGGCTCTGTCACCAACCTGCTGTGTGACCTTGGGCAAGTCACTTTCCCTCTCTGAGCCTCATGGCCTTTCTCCAAAATGAGATAATGATCTCAGCTCTGCCATTCTGCCAAGGAGTACCCAGTGTGAGATGAACTTGGAAAGCTCTTTATAATCTGCAGGGCCCTGGGAGGGGAGTCACCAACAACAGGCAGGTTGGCGCCAGATGGGTGGGTGCCAGGGTTGGGCCTGCAGCTTCCTGGGTCTCTGCCCAGCCCTGCCATCTGTGTGGTAGCCTCAGCTCCACCTCCTCCTGCCTCGCTACCAGGAAAAAGGCTCCTGGGATCTTCTCACTTTATCAGAATCTTCCCTCTGCCTCCCCTTCTCTCCTTTTCTATTTTAGTCAGGACTCTTGGTTGCAAGTGACAGAAATCACAAGTACAAGGAGGGAGGATTAGTTTTAGGCATGGTTGGAACCTCGGACCTAAAACAATGTCACGGGATGCGCTCCTTGCTTTTTCATCTTCCTCCCTCACTCAGTCTCTGTCCCTTAGCTTTGGTGACTCTCAGGAAACAGGGCACAAGGTGAATGCCCATCCTTGAACAGATCGCTGTGTGTGGTTTATTAAGTTAGGCTTGGGTCACAAGCCCACTACAGATGTTAGAAGTGGGCTCAGCCCCACCCAGGCCACGTGAACTGAGTGTCTGAGGGCAGCTTCCAAAACAAGAGATGGGTTCTGTCACCAGAGGAAGGGATATTGGTCAGTCAATAACTTAGGATCATAAGGGCACCTTTGATCCTAAGTGTATCAGCTGAAAGATTGAACCAGGGGCTGTTGGAAAGGGAGTGTTGATTGAGTCCTATATTAGTTAGCTTTTGCTGCATAACAAATTACTCCAAAACGTAGCAGTTTAAAAGAACCATTTTATTTAGCTCATGATTCTATGGGTCAGCTAGGAGATTATTCTGGTGTGGGCTATGTGTTTATGGTCAGCTGGTGGGTTGGCTAGCATCTGAATGATCTAGGATGTCCTCACTCTGATGGTTGAGTCGCTGTCACAGCTGGGGTGCCTCAGTACCCCTCCATATGGCCTCTCATCCTCCAGCAGGTCAGCTCAGTCTCCTTCACAAGATATTCTCTGTGTTATAAGTGTAGCAAGCGGGCAAACTCCAGTTCACAAGCATTTTCCAAGCCTTCACGCTCATCTAGTTTGCTGAAGTCCCATTGGGCAAAGCAAGTCACATGACCAAGCACAGAGTTAGTGTCTGAGGGCACTGCCAAAGAGCCTGGTAACAGGGAGAGGAAGAGTTTGAGGCCAATTTTGCAACTACTACAGGTCCCTCAGGGATAAGGAATGAAAAAAATCCCTTTCTCTGCAGCCCATGGATCCCATAGGCCAGGGCAATCTCCAGATAGGGGGCCTTGGAAGAGGTGACTCAGGCCCATGATGAGCCATCCAATGGGTAGTTGGTTATAAAGGGGCTGGAGGTTGAAACGTGAGTGGAGAGTCACTGCAGCTCGGGTGGGCTGGGAGAGGCAATCTGGTTCCTGACTCTACCTGTCTCCAAGTGAGAGCCCCACACGGGGAAGGTGCAAGCACTTGAGCTGCTAGTGGGGAGTGCCTCTTGGCAGGGAGGAAGGCGTGCTGAACCCTAGTTCCCATCTCCCTTCAGCCCACCCCAAAGTGATGATCAAGGCTCAGTCCCTCCTCAGCCCCACAGATTTGCCCCCACCTCCCACATCCCTTTGGTGCTGTGGGGCTGGGATGGCTCTGAGACTTGTGCACAATCATGTCACGGTGCCTCATCACCATGGTAACTGGAGTCACCTCCTCCACAAGGTCAAAGAGTTCCTGCCCTTCCCTTTTTAGGGAGTGACTTTGGCCTCAGTCTGCTTTTTCCCACAGGTGGCTGCGCTGGAGCGGCAGATCTTTGACTTCCTGGGCTACCAGTGGGCTCCTATCCTAGCCAACTTCCTGCACATCATGGCGGTCATCCTGGGCATCTTTGGCACGGTGCAGTACCGCTCCCGGTACCTCATTCTGGTACGGCTCCCTTGGCCCCTCCCAAGCCTACCCCTTCTCACCCCCACTCATCGCCCCTACTCCTCCAGCCAGAACTGTCCCCCACTCCAGGCACCCAGACCCCTGTTCTGTCTTGCCTCCAGCCTGGCTAGCAGTGTGAATGCCCAAATCCCAGTGCTTCTTTGCTCAGAGACTAGTATTTTTCCTAAAGGATTTCCTAGGGAAAAATCCACCTATTAACAAGCTATATCATTTAGTGAGTGTCTACCATGTGCTGAGCACACTGCTAAGAGTTTCGCATGCTATCAGACCTTTATAACAGCTCTGCAAGAAATATTGCACCATCTCCATTTTCCAGATGTGGACATGAAGCTCAGAAAAGTTAGGAGGCTTCCTCAGGTCACACAGCTAATAAGGAGCAGAACCAGAGCGAAGGATCCTACCACATCACCACGCTGCCCCTGAAAGCCAGTGGGAAGAAGGCGCCGTGTCTTGTTTAGTTTCTCAGGTTGCTTCAGAAAGGCTTGGCTTTGTCCTTTGATGTTCACCAAGAATGTGGTCTAGAACAGCGAGTGTGTTTGAAGTCGGTGCCTAGGTGGCCATTTCAGGATGGATTGTGTCCCTGGCTCCTTCCTCCTGTTTCCTCTTTCCAAGCCCTGGTCCCTGATGGTCTCTGTCAAACTCCTGTTTTCAGCTAAGATCACCTTTGTCCCATGCTCTTCCTCAGTGACCCATTCACATGCCTCTCTTGAGGGAAAAGGCTTTTTGGTGGATTTACTACATAAATGATTGACACCGATAATAGCAATGACACACAATGTCTTGCTACCACCAGAGCCCACTCGCACTCATTCTATGGCTTCTCCCCACCTCTCACAGGCTCAGCTCCCAGAAAGCCTGGTGAACAGGGCCCTTCCGGAGCTTTCTGTCACCTGAGAGATGAGAGAACAACCCTTCTCTCCAGTTCTCAGGAAGCCTCAGGCACCAGTGTGAACAGCCCTGTCTGCCAGGTGGCGGCCACGGGAATTGCAGGCATAGTGCTTGGGTGGAAATAGCCGGCTCCTCTCCAGCTCTTTGCCATGTCTGGTGGTGGTTTTCTCAGCAGAATGGATGAGATTAGCTACCCGAGGAGTTGTGTTTGAGTGACAGCCCTACCTCTTCCTAGCTGTGTGATCTTGCAAAAAAAGATCCCTCTAGGCCTTAAATTAGTTATCTCTGAAGAGAGGACAATAACCTTCCCTGCAGGGCTGTTATAAGGACTGGATGGATATAAAAATGGTTTGTAAACTAGAAAGTGCTCTGAGTGAGGTATTGTCATAATTTTTCCTGCAAAGGTCTCCTCAGTCCCTGAGCTTTGTCTCCATGGACACGCCCCAAACCCACTCCCTCAGGCCCCACCCACCCTGACCCCACCTCTGCTTTCTCCAGTATGCAGCCTGGCTGGTGCTCTGGGTTGGCTGGAATGCGTTTATCATCTGCTTCTACCTGGAGGTTGGACAGCTGTCCCAGGTAAGCCTCAGGCCTGGCAGTGCCAGAGAGCAGAGCCTGACCTTCCCATCCCCCACCCAAGGCCCCCCACCCCCCCAGTGTGGTGTGGATCTGGGGCATCATCTCCTGAAGAGACCTTCTCCATACCCAAATAATCTGTGCCCCCACCCCCCACCCCACATTTTTGTTTCTGGCTTCTTCTGCACTTCTCAGACACAAATGATGGACTAGTTAAGTCCGCAGAGCAGTCTGACTGAAGATGGACTGGGGTCCCAGTTGATCACAGGCTTAGTAGAAACCAACAGTATGTGATGGCCCAGAAAGCTACTCTTAGGCTCCACATGTGTTCAGTGCAAGTGAGGTGAAAAGCCCATGCACTTTGTACCACTTAGAACACCAAGATTTGAGTCCAGTGCCGATCAGTATTGTTTCAGAATAAAAAGAGATTAGGTAGAGTTTGTTCGGGGGAAAATTGAACAGACCATGTCACCTGGAGAAATGTCGAAGACAGTGGGACTGTTTAACTTGGAGAAGAGCAAGCCTAAAGGGCATAACTTCTATTTTCAAATATAAAGAAGGCAAAATATATGAATGAGAGCATTAGCTTTGTAGCTTGACCCTACTCAATTTAAATCCCAGCTTTATCATTTTCTAACTGTGTGACCCTGGGCAAGTAGCTTACCCTCTCTGAGCTTCAGGTTCTTCATCTAGTAAATGCAGATAAGAGCAACTCCAACTTTCTATGGTTGTTGAGGGAGATAAACGAGATCACACATCTCAGTGCTTGGCACCTGGTCAGCACACAGTGAATATTTGTTAGAGGCCTGTATGAGTGAATGGACTGATGAACACATGGATGCACAGCAGGGATGATAACATCTGATCTAGGTCAGCCCCTGGAGAATGAGGACCAAAGAGGGGAGAGGTTTGTCCAGGGTCACACACAGGGAGAGCAGTAGAGAGGCTGACTGGGCCATGTAGGGGCCTGTATCGAGGATTTCACCAATGGCTGGGAAATTGTTCCCTGTCACTGTTAATGTCCTTTCCAGCCCTGAAATTCTAGGGTTTCAGTTGGTCAGCGCCGGCCTCTTCCATAGCTGATGGAAGAGTGAGGCCTGCATGGTCATCAAGCGCCACCTACTGGCCAAATGTAGGTTAGCAGATACAGACTCACCCCATTCCCTCCACAAATCAAGCCAGGGAAAGAGGCTGTTGTCAGCCCAGTTGTGAAGTAGGCTCGTAAAGTTTCCTGGGACTTGGGAAGCATCCCCAACCCCAGCTCAGTATCCTAGGCCCCTCTGCCCCCAGGACCGGGACTTCATCATGACCTTCAACACATCCCTGCACCGCTCCTGGTGGATGGAGAATGGGCCAGGCTGCCTGGTGACACCTGTCCTGAACTCCCGCCTGGCCCTGGAGGACCACCATGTCATCTCTGTCACGGGCTGCCTGCTTGACTATCCTTACATCGAAGCCCTCAGCAGCGCCCTGCAGATCTTCTTGGCTGTGAGTCCTCCTGTACCCCCACCTCACATTTCCAGAAGTGGAGTCCACAGACCCCTTTGTTTAGCCCTAGTTCAGAAAGGCGGAACCAGCCTGCCTCTGTTTCAGTAGCCTGTACCTCCTCCCTTCGCCCCTGCCTCAGTCCTGGGTTTAAATCTCCAATATACCCACTCTGTGACCTTGGACAAGTCACTTGCTCTCTCCAAGCTTGTTTCTTGACTCACAAGAAGGAATGACAATATCAAACTCATGGAGTTGTGAGAATACATTAAGAATAGCTCCGGGCCGGCCGAGTGGCTCAGTTGGTTAAGAGCTCGCTCAAGAGTTTGAGCTCTGAGCAACAGCGGTTCGAGTCCAGCCCGAGCTGAGCAGCCGCTGAGCTGCCAACAGGTAGCAGGATGGCTCAGCTAAAAAATAAAAAAAAAATAGCTCCAAGATAGTGATCAGTTCCATTTCTAGAAGGGCCACCCCTGCCCTAGGCACTTTACACATACAAAGTCACATAATCCTCTTTCCTCTTAACAATCCAGTAAGGTATTACCCAGCTCCAGCTGGAGAAACTGAGGCTCAAAGAGGTAAAAGAATTACTTGTCCAAAGTCACACTTCCAGAATGGAGACTGGAACCAAGTATGTTTGACTTTAAGGCCCAGTCTTGAACGTGATGTTGTTACGGATTTGCCTTCATCTTAGCACACCTCCCCCTTCCAGTCAGGGTGGGCAGGGCCAGGCAGGGGGTGGAGGAAGAGCTTCCCTCTCCTTGTTCCCTTCTTCCCCAGCTGTTCGGCTTTGTGTTCGCCTGCTACGTGAGCAAAGTGTTCCTGGAGGAGGAGGACAGCTGTGAGTGTGCAGTGCCCCTAGGGAAGTGGGGAAGCCAGAACACCCAGCACCTTCAGCACCCTGGACAGGGGCCTGAGCCTGAGCTCGGCGGGAGGGAGCCCTGGGTTCACCCCTCGTGCGGGGAAGAAGACTTAGCACGGGTGGGTGGGGGTTTGCATAGCCAGCCCATTCTGGGCTGAGGCCCAGACGTCCATGTGCCCAAGTCCACAGCCCCAGCACTGGCCCCATAACTGCCCCTCTTAGACCCTGCCCCTTGGAGAGCCTCGTTCCCCTAGGTCTGCCGCTGGCAAGCACCGCCCATTTCCAGCGTCCCCCCTCCCCCCGAAGGTTGCTCCCTTAGGTGGCTCGAGCCCTGTCCCCCAAGAGTCTTCTCGCTTAAGGATGCACCACCCTCCAGGCTCACTATCCTCTTAGGGCCTTGGCCCCCTCCTGGATGAGCTCCTCTGTGTTCAGCCCCCATGGGCCCATCCGTCAGGATCCGACAGCAAAGCCCCACCCCTAAGCCCCTGTATGGGGTCTGACCCTCAGATCCTTCCCTTTCAAGACCCATAACTCACCTCCAACAGGCCCATCCCTAACCATGTGCCACCTCTCTTTCCGCAGTTGACTTCATCGGTGGCTTTGACTCCTACGGATACCAGGCGCCCCAGAAGACGTCGCATCTACAACTGCAGCCTCTGTACACGTGGGTCGTGGCGCGGAGCAGGGTGGGGTGGGGAAGAAGGGGAGGAGGGATGGGGAAGGCAGCTGGATCTCTCTACTCCCGTATTTTCGGGGTCCACTTTCCTAACGTACCTTTGTTTCCGGCAGGTCCGGGTAGCTTCTGCCCCGCGCCCACCCCGGCGCCGCTTGCTTTGTGGCTAGACTGACAGCTGCTGCCACGAGCTCGGGCCAAGAGGGCAGGCTCGCCCCCTGGCGGCTCGCCAACCAACTGCAGCCGGCTCGTCTTGATCTGGGTCTGTGGCGGACTTGGACTTGGCCCCTCAGCAGCCTGGACTTCAGGGGTGGGGCGGGGCAGGGCGGGATGAGGGAGGGGAATCCTGGGGTTTGTATTTTTTTTATGGCGGCCTTGGCGTGCGCTGGAGCCTCCTTCCCTTCGCCAGCCTCTCCTCTTCACCCTTCATCCAGCATCCTGTCCACTGTCCAGAAAGTAAAGGCAGGACGGACAGACTCACCCCATCTCACCACACTCAATCACCAGCTCTGGGGAAAGCGAACTAGGAGCGGGAGTCCTGGGTTCTAATCGCAGCTCCATCACTGACTCTCTTTGTGACATCTGGCAAGGTTCTTGCCCTCCCTGGCCCTCAGTTTCCCCACCTCAAATAATTTTAAAAAAACCTTAGCAGATGGAGCTCTTTCTAGCCTTCTCATTTGACTCTCAAGTCCCTGGGTTAAGCTGGGATTATAATTCCTATTTTGCAGATATGGAAACTGAGGCCCAGAGATGTGAAGCGATTTGCTTGAGGCCACACAGCTAGGCGCCTTGAACACAGTGTACTTTCTATAGTTTTAGCCTCTAAAACCCAAATAGTCTCTGAATTCCATTTTCAAGCCCCCTTCCAGCTTGGACACTCTAGAACCCATGTGATCAGCATCACATCTACATATCACCGCCACCGCTTGCCAACACCTCTCTTAAAGCAATATACCTGTTCTCTTTTTGGGAACCAGATGTATGGAGCCTAGAGCCCTGAATTCAGCCTGACCCACAGGGAAGCCTTTCTTGACTCAGCTTCTGCCCACCCTTGGCAAACCTTTCAAGCTCTCTCCAGGAAAGGGGAACCATAACTCACCACACCCCCTTCCAGGTCCCTGAAGCTGCTACACCCATGATCCCTTACTCCCTGTGCAACTCCACTAACCCCTGACGGCTGCATCCACCTCACCAGTTGGAAGACCTATGATTTCAGAGTGGAAAAGTGCTGGTCAGCACTGCCTGTCACTAGTGCTCACAGATCACTAGCATTTATGACCACTCCAATGTCCAGAGGCAGAACGTGGGTATGGTTCATGGTGGTGGGCCAGCACCTTTCCTTGACAGCAAGTAGAGATGAGAACTCATTCTCTCCACCTCCTTCCACAGACACTCCTGCAGCCTATGCCCTGGCTGTTGAGCCCAAGAGCCGGGGGATCGGGCCTTCGCTTCCCAGTCTGTGAAACAGAGTGACCCTGGGTTAGGAAGGAGGGTAGGAGGCACCAGGGAACTAGAGGGAAGTGCAAACTGTTTGCACACCTGAGCCTGTCCGTGGTGACCACTTTCTTCCATCCTCCAAGCTAGCATTCCCTACTGTCTAAGGCCAAAATATCCTGAGCTAAGACCCCACACCACCATCCCAACTGCAGTGCTGTGCCAAGGAGCCAGACCCAGGAGTTCCTCTGGTCACCACAGGCACCAAGGTCCCAGGTGGTCAGCTCAGTGAGCTGATGAGGACAGCTCAAGAGAGGGACGGTTCCCTTCTTGCCTGGCTGCTGCCCCACCACTAGGCCAACTCCTGCCTCCAGCCCTCCCTTCTCCCACCCCCAGCCAGCTGTCATCTCTCCCCCACTTCCCCAACCCCCTTTCTAATCAAGGGGTTTAGCCACTGGTGCTTTGAAGCCTTTTGTTTTTATAAGATGGTTTTTGCAAGGGGACCAAGTTCTCACTGGGACCTTGCAAGGCAGGGAGTGTTCCCCTGGTTTCTGTGCAGGTGGGTTGATTAAAGACGGTGTTTTCTTCTCTATCTTCCTGTCCTCCTGCCCTGTGAGTCAGCAGGGTCCCTGCATGAAGGTTGGCAGGGCCTGGGGGTCAATGTCACTGTCACTCTCAAACATTCCTAGGTGCACTGGCCTATGCCTCATGACTGGCTGTGTAGCTTTGGGCAAGTCACTCTCCCTTCTTTCCTTATCTATAAAATGCAGGGGTGGGATTAAATGAGTGGGTCCTCAAACCAGGCTTCACAATCCCTTGGAGAGCTTTCTATTTATTTTTCTGATGAAGTACATTTTCAGTTTACGCTTCCAAATATCCTTTGAATTTTGGCTCTGCCCTCTTCCTGACAATTCAGTTCCTGACTTGGGAATGAGCTGGCAGACAGTGCTTTAGACACACATTCGTGTGCCCCACCTAGAACATCCTGGATCCTTTCTGGCGATACACCAGAATCAGTATTTTTATTTTTTTATTTTTTATTTACTTTTGTATACAGCCAATATGTACTTATAATACGAAATTCAGAAAATTCCTGGCCGGGGGGGGGGTGGGGGTGGGGGCGGTAATGTCCTCTTACTCATTTTTCATACCATTCCAAAGAGAGTCAGTTCTTTTTTAAATTATGTAAATATTTTTCCCCCTTTTTCACACAAATGGCAACATATTCTGCTCACTCTTCAACTCCCTGTTTTTTTTTCCACTTAAGTTGGAAATCTCTGAATAATACATGTGGAGCTGCCTCCCGTCCTTCCACAGTGATTTGGTAGATTTGGGGTTTTCGTAGAGGTCCCCAGGTGATCCTAATGCAGCTAGGGGCTAAGAACCAGAGGTTCTACATAAGGATGCCCCCTGGTCCATTGTACAAACCTCTGGACCACTCCTGGCCTTGGAGTCCAGAGGAAGATAAATCACAGACACTGCCTTCAAGGAGTTTATGGTCTAGTGGGGAGCTCACAGGATGGGCAGGCAGAAGGGTGAATGCTGAGGACAGTGTAGAGTGGAAGGCGATCATTAATAGGAGCTCAGGGGGGAACAGGCTCTCTGAGTATCCCAGACAGGGGCAAAGCATGAGCAAAAAGGTGTGGAGGGCGGAGAAGACATGGCATCTGAGGTAAGACTAGCCAGAGACTAACTGGTTAGAGGAGGCTTCAGTGGGGAGTGGATCCGTTTCCTATTGCTATCAAAAATTACCACAGCTTTAGTGTCTTAAAACCGGACACATTTATTAACCAAAGTTCAACATGGGTGTCACTGGGCTAAAATCAAGATGTCTGGAGTGCTGCATGTCTTTCTGGAAGCTCTAGGGGAGAATCCATTTCCTTGCCTTTTCTAGCTTCTAGAAGCTGCCCTCATTGCTTGGCTCGTGGCCACCCTTCCTCCATCTTCAAAGCCAGCAATATGGCATCTCTCTGACATCGCCTCCATCATCACATCCCTCTCTAATGACAGCCAGGAAAGGCTCTCCACTTTTAAGGACTCGTGTCATTAGACTGGGCCCACCCAAATAGCCCAGGAAAATCTCCCCTTCTGAGAGTCTAATCATATCTGCAAAGTCCCTTTTGCCATGCAACACATTCACAGGTTCCAGAGATTAGGCTGACACCTTTGGGGGCCATTATTCTGCCTTCCACAGGGAAGGAGTTGTAGCCAGCTTATTGTAGTCCTGAATGTCAAAATAGGGTGCATCAGCCTGACGTAGTGGCAATGGGCACTATCGAAGGATTTTGAGCACAAGCTACTCCATTAGAGCTGTCCTTTAGAGGAAGCTGGCAGGGCTGCAAGAAGGTGGAGGAGGGGAGCAGGAAGAAGTGTTTTGTCTGGAATAGGCCCAGGGTTTCTCACCTCGTGGGTAAATGTGTATTCTTCGGGTACGTGTGTGACCATGAGCTCTATGTGTGTAAACTTGGAAGGGCTAGTACAATAATAATGAGCATGAAATGCAGGAGTCAGGCATACCTGGATCCAAATGAATCACTGGAACCAGTCGAGCAGGTCTTTCCACCAAGCCCAGGGAAGCTCCCCAGCTCCTGCCATCCTGGGCCATCTCCCAGCAACCTCTGCACATTAGAATAATCAGGTAGGACAGACCATCTTCAATAACTCCTCAGTCATAAAGGTGCCCAAGGCATTCTTTGAAGCAATAGAATATGAATTCCCCAAGGTGCATGTGACAAGCACAACAGTCTGTTGGGATTTATAGACATACTAGTGTTTTCTTTAACGTGTTGGAATTGGGTCTTGCAGTTTCTAAAGTGATTAGGAATGAGGGATGCCAAGGCCTTGTGGCCTTACAAGATTCACCACTCCACAGGCTACTGGCTTAGGGCAGTGTTTCTCAAATTTGCAGAGCATAAGAATCCCTTAAAACCCGAATTCCTAAGCCTGATCCAAGACTCACTGAATCCAACATCTGGGCAATGACAGGAATCTTTTTCACAAGTGCCTCCGGGCAATCCAGGTTTGGGACATCCTAGGCCCGAGTAAAGAGGCATGCAAACATGTTTGAATCTTCCCCTACTCCAATGTCGTAGAAGCCCCACCAAAGCATGCCTGCCAGCTCCCTTGTATCAGAGCTAGTCTTTCGTTATCTCCTCAAACCTCAGCTTCATTTGTTACTGACAGTTACAATTTTTGTTAATGTGTTAGGCATTTCAAAGACTGTGAACAACTCTTGAACTTAAACATTGACATAACTTCACACCGCTAAGTTATTGGGTTGTCGGAAAAGTCATGAGGTATTTTTCTGTTTTTCGTGACAAAAATGCGTCATGACTTTTCCGACAACCCAATAGTTTGGGCAAAGGCAGGACCAAGCTCTGCCTTTTTCTCTCAGCCTCAGTCATCTGGAGGAGGTGAGGGCAGCTCCAAGTTGCCCTACTGCCACCTGAACAGGGAACTATGTCCTGCCCGGAGCCTGGGTTCCAGTGACTCAGCAGTTCCTCTCTTAGAGGGTCCTGGAATCAGTCTGGGCAGGCCTAGGCAGACTGGAGCTGCAGAGAAAGCCCTGTACTAGGTGCCCATTACCTAAAGTCTACTTCCTCTGACCCATCCACCAGGACCTGCTTTGTCTCTTACAGCTTACCTGCTAGGCAGAATTGACAATTTTTCTCGTTTAGTCTTCCTAACAATCCTAAGAAAGTAAGTTCTATTGTCACCGTCTTATATAGATGGAGCCATTAAAGCTGGGAGAGACCCCAAGTTACGCAACTAGAAAGTGGCGGAGTCAGCATTTTAAACCCAGCCACTCTGACTCCTGGGTTCATTCTCTAGCCACTGCTCTAGGACTTGGGAGAGTCTATTAGTTTTCTTGCTACCTAGCAAATACCTTCAAAACTTAATGGTCTACATCAACAAACATTGTCTCACACAGTTTCTGTGGATCAGAAATTCGGGAGCAGCTTAGCTGGGTGGTGCTGGCCAGGGTCTCCCCATGAGCTAGCTTGCAGTGAAGATTTAGGCCAGGGCTGTAGATGTATGAAGGCTGGGCTGGGCTAGAGAGCCCACGCCCAAGATTGCTTAATCACATGGCTGTTGAAGGAAGCCTGAGATCCTTTTTACATAGATCTCTCCATTGGGCTGCTGGAGTGTGCTCATAACATGGCAGCCATCGTGGCCCAGAGCAAGCGATGAGAGAGAGAGACTAAGTCCAGTCCACACCGAAGGGGTTAACAATTAGTCTCCACCTTTTGAGAGAAAGATTGTCAAAGAATTTGTGGACATACTTTAAAACCCCTCCAGGGACTCTGATTGTTATAATACACTTATTTTATTTTTTTATTAGTTTCAGGTGTACAAAGCAACTTAATAGTTAGACATTTACACCCCTCACAAAGTGATAACCCCCCTCCCCCACACATTATTTTTAAGAAACCTAACAGGTGCTTAGAAGAAATAGACTGTCAGCCTCCTTCCCTCCACTCTTCCTGTGACTTGGATTCTAAAGCTCAAAACTTGGAGCACTGCAGAAGAGGATCTGACCTGTTCATTGGTGGAGAGTGTGTGGTGCCTGGACATGGTAGATACTTGATAAATATTTATGGAAGAGGCCTGCTGGAGGACCTCGTATAATCAGACCCAATGGGTTTATTCCATGGACACCCACTGCCATCTCCATATGTCTGTGTTCTGGTGTTCAGGTACAAAGACACAGCTAACCTAGTTCCTGTCCCTAGGGGGAGCCTTCAGACTGGATACGGGGGCAATTTAATAAAAAAGATCTTAATACCAAAAAGCCAAAATAGATGCTATAATGGCAGCATGACTCCAGGATGAGGTGGGGACTCATGGTGGAAGCAGCAAAGAGGCTTCATAAAAGAGGTGGCACTTAAACGGAGACTTGAATAATGAAGAGGAGTGTGCTTGGAAGACGTGTGCAGAGAGAACAGTATTCCAGGCCGAAAGAACAGCTTGTTCAAAGGCATAAAGGTGTGAGAGAGCCTAGCATGTTTGGGGAATCTCGGAGTTAGAAGGAACCTTAATATTGTTTAATGAAAGCCCCACTGCTGCTTACATCTCTTAATAATAGTAATAGCCAACATTCTCAGAATGCCTGCCAGGCACTGTGTTAAGCACTGCAGATGGATTGTCAGATTTGATCCTCCCAACAGCTTTATAAGGTGATTTCTATTATCTCCAGTTCATAAATGAGGAAACCAAGACTCAGAATGGTTAAGTACCATGCTCAAGGTTGTACCATGTGCATGTTGCAGGGCTGGGACTTGGATCAGGATCTTTCTGACAAGCCTGTGTTTTTAACCTCTGCATTGGTAAGTGGTCATGTAGCCTCCAGTTACGCATTTGGAGTGACAGGAAGCTTGCTACCCCTCTGGCAAAGACAAAGAGGCTCTGGAGTCTTTCAGACATATTCCAGTCCTGCAGAAGCCACCAGCCTAACTGAAGCAAGGGGTCAATAGAAAGGTAGGCGCTACCTTGAGTTTCAAGCCAATTTATCAGTATCCATCCATTACCATTAGCCCAAAGAACTCTGGTTAGAGGCTACATGATCAGCACCTTGTTAGGACAGATGGTGGCTGCAGGGGCTACCGGGAGAAGCAACCTCTCCCAGGTGGGGACCCAGCAAGCCTCCTGGAGTGACCCAGAGGGCAGGGCATGGAGCTTTCTAGACCAGAGGTTCTCAAAGTTGGTATTATCCCCATTTTGGATTAGGTAATTCCCTGTTGTGGGGGGCTGTCCTGTGCACTGCAGGATGTTTAGCAGCATCCCTGGGCTCTACCCACAGATGTACCCCACCTCCAGTAGTGACAACCAAAAATGTCTCTGGACATTGTCAAATGTCCCTGAGGAGTAATATCACACACACACACACACCCTCTCCAGTGAGAACCACTGCTCTAGCCAGAGGAAATAAAGTGAGTAAAGTCATCGAGGGGGATGAGTGAGACTTTGGGTAAAGCACTTAACTCCAGCCTCACTTTTTTTTTCATTAAAATGGCATAACATTTCAAAGGGTTACTGTGATCATGAGAATGCCTGTAAAGCACCTGACACGTAGGAGGCCCCAATAAATGTTAGTTCCTT